GCCATTAGCTTTCATGCCAAACACTGCCGTTTTATTGGCTGGCTACTGAAACATCTGCATGAATTAGTGTGTGCTTCATGTAAATGATGTGTAAATTAGGTCCTGGTCGGCTGGTTTCAAGCGCTGAAGCTGATTTATCATTTATGCTCAAATTTCCACTTGTTTCCACATCGTACAAAGTTGTTATGAATCAGACGCAGAGCAGTTCAAACCTTATTAAAGGAAAAAAAGTGTTCTTTTTTACGTAGCTTTGATTATTAATGGGCCCTTTTCACAAGATTCGTGATTACTTCCAGTTTAAGCATTAGCAGGGTAAAACTCACTTCCTGCAGACGCGATGACAAAATGTTTAGTAGTGAACTGTACCGCTCAAACTCTGAGCTACAACAGCTGTATTTTAGTTTTCCTGCTCGGTTGTGACAGTGAGAGTAAGAAGTGGACGGAAGCTCTGATTTAACTGTAAACAGAGCTGAGATGCTGTATGTTGTTTTTACCGCAGTTCTGCTGCAGCTGCTTCACATCAGGCCGTCTCTGTGTCTTTGTACAACACGCCAGCGATTCGGTAATATTCTGTTTTCAAAAGAAAGAAGAACTTTTATATGTAGCATGAATGTTATAGACTTTGTTTATATTAAGCTAGCTATACTGGCTAGAAGCTACTGCTAACCAAGCTAGCCCGGCTAACTTGAAGCAGCTTTTTCAGATGTTTTTTCAGCTAGGAGTCTCGTTTTTGACTGAGCAGTGAAAGGTGGATGTTTTCTGAAGTGCTGCTTCAAGAAATGCCATGAAACTATAAGAATAATGCTGTTTGGCAGATCGCTAACATAGCCAGCGTTAGAGCTAACTTAGCTTTAAAGTTTGATGCTCATTCGAAGCTGGAGCTCCTGAAACTGCTAAAGGCAGGCTAGCCAATTAGCAACTGTAGCCTGCTAGCCTACCGTCAGCTAATACAGTTTAAACAAGGTCTGTAAAGTAGACTTTACATATAAAAGTGTTTGTTTGTGTTTATGTCAGAAGTCTCTGCATCCTGTAGCTAAATGTGTCACAGAACCTGCTCCACGTTAGCCGGCTGGTGGCAGCAGCTAATGAAAGCTAACTAGCTTCCTTATTTTGGGAATACAGCTACAGTTAGAAATGGCTTCTAGCGTTGTTAGCTAACCTAGCTACAGCTAAACAACGTCTACCAAATTAATACTACATAGAAGAACTTTTATTTCTTCTGAAAACAAAAATATTACAGAAATCGCTGGCATGTTGTTCAACTACAGAGACACTGCTTGATGTGAGCAGCTGCATCAGCAGTAAGCAGGGCTGCACCACACACAGCATTTTAGCTGTGTTTACAGTTAAATCAGGGCTTCTGTTCACTTCCTATTCTCACGTTTTGTCATGATAGTGCACGAAAACTAACATATGTCTGTTGTAGCTCAGTATTTGAGTATTATAATTCACTGCTAATGCTTAATCCGGACGTAATCGCGACTCTTCGTGAAAAGGGCCCATGGCCATTAGATCTTTACATTTTGACCATTAATTACTTCTTAAATTCCTCTTACTTAACCAATAATTACTGCTTTTGTGTCCCTCCAAGTAAAGTGACAACACAAAAGCAGTAATTAATGGTTAAGTAAGAGGAATCTAAGAAGCAATGAACGGTTGATTAAGTGGAATTTAAGAAGTAATTAATGGTCAAAATGTAAAGATCTAATGGCCATTAATCATCAAAGTTACGTAAAAAAAACACCTTTTTTGTCTTTTATAAGGTTTGAACTGCTCTGCGTCTGATTCATAACAATTTTGTACGATGTGGAAACAAGTGGAGATTTGAGCATAAATGATAAATCAGCTTCAGTGCATGAAACCAGCCGACCAGGACCTAATTTACATATCATTTACATGAAGCACACACTAATTCATGCAGATATTTCAGTAGCCAGCCAATAAAACGGCAGTGTTTGGCATGAAAGCTAATGGCCCTGCTCGTGGGTGGAGTTTGATGTCCAGCAGTGAGTGCACTCCTCCCCTGCTGACCAAACTTAATAGTATTAAAATGAAAACAACTGGAAAAAATAAAATGTGAAATAAAACTAAATACTCTGTGTTGTTAACATAATAGAGTGATTGTTTAGTGTAATTAATTCCCTAAATAAACGCTGTATTATTGCAGTGTATGACTGAAGCTGTGTTTGTGAGTCAGTAGTATGAAACAAAAGCACAGTGTAATGTGTCTTTAAATGGAACATGAAATAGTTGCAGCACTTGTTTATATCAATGTGCATGTAAAGTAAGTACATCCACTTCTGTACTGGACTGTCATGCACACAAATTAGTATTATTGAAATTTTCTATTGTTGTTCTTAGTTTTGCTATTACAGATTATGTTGATAATAGTTTTGGTTAATTAGCCACATATCCAGCATTTATGCCCAAATGCACTCCTACCAGATATGAGTACAGATATGCCAAGATGAACGTGATGAATAACAAAACCGTCCATGAATTTGTGTGCACTCATTTTACGGTCAGATGTGACCATAAGCATCTTTAATGAACCAAAGTGAGAAAAGTGAAGCAACTGAATATATGGAGGTGATGGAAAGTTAATTAACAGGTAATTAGTGGGATTAACACATAAGTGCTAGTAAGTTATCACGTTACTTCTTTATATGAAGAAAAATACTTATTAGTTAATTAACAATGTAATACGCAGCAATTAGCACACAGATAATGAGTAAGTAAGCCACAAACTAACGACAAACTAACTTATCAACTAACAGTGTACTTATTACTAATTGATAAGTGCTTAATCAATTACTAAGTAATAGCTAATGCTTAATGAAGAGTTAACTAATAACTGAATAATGGGAAACTAATAGTTGATTATTATATATTTAATGATTGATTAGCGACCCTTAATGTAAAGTGTTACCCTCTTCGTCTGTTAGCTACACACTGAGATGTTATAAATGACACTGCTATACAGTCCAACTGTGTACATTTCTCTGAATCACAGCATTAAAACACTCTACTCTGCAGCTCCATGACAGCTAACTTAGCTTAGCCAGTTAAACGAATGGAAAGTCCCAAACTTCAAGTAAAAGCTCATCAATACAGGAAGTGAACAGTTCAAAAAGTGCTTTAATTTGGTAACAGGGCACTCTGTCTGACATCTTAAATTTAGTAAGCACAATTTTGACAAAGGTTGACGCTTGACGCTAATGATTTCTGATTGGTTACTGCTATTGGACCAATAGGACTGAAATAAGCTGGTTAAACTTGTAGTGTATTTATTTAGTCTCTCCTGTTTTCCCTTTTTAATAATTTTCTTTCATATTTGATTTTATTTTCATTTCTTCTTTTTCTGACCAGGCTACATAGACACCCTTCACTCCTCTTCCTATCTAATTTGCTTCTTATTATTTAGTTGACTAGCCTACAGTACAAAAACATGATTTTGTATGTTAGTGAACTAAATAAGCCAATTCACCAAATAGTTCTACTTAGGTGCATATTGTTTATTAATGCATGCTTTAGCAAGTTAATGTAGACCAATCTGGACTATGGGACAGAGAAGTTGTGGCGGGGGCGGGGGTTGATATCGGAATTGGTGTAGAAGCGCTGTGCAGCTACAGTTTGAGTAGTAGTTTCAAATCCCTTCTAATGCTCTTAACTACAGCACTAATGCCAGTGAAATATAATAGCGTACGCAGGCACAACATTGTTGTATGATCCTTTAAAACCTTTGAAAAGTAAAATATTCACTGAAGTTGTTTGACTCATTTTGTATACATAATTTGGCATTATTCCTTTAAGTTTATTCTAAAAGTTTCCCTTTTTTCCAGTTGCATTGGTTTCTGTACATCCAAAACTAATTTGGTACTCGCTTTGCTTTTGTTGTGCATGTATAAATGTGAAATTCTTCCAATAAAGCATAAACAATACGCTTGTCAGTGTGGTGCTGTGCAGACTGAAAGTGAAAGTAAGCACAGCGAGACTGTGAGAAGAGAATCTGATTGGTTCGCTGTGGGGAACATACTATACATTAGAACATCTTTCTGAAAATAAAAAATTAATAAAAAATAAATAATGCTCTATAATGAAATTTTTGAAAAGCTTGAAACATCTTTATACATTAAACTTAATTAAACCTTATTTCTTGTGCATTACATTAATCAGGCAGGGCTCTTCCAAGTGCTAAAATATGTTAAACTGTTCAGAGAAGCCTAAAAAAGAAAATATGTTCTGATTAAAACACTGACACAAGGAAGTGTTCACTTTTTAAAATTAAATATTATAAAAATATAAAAAATGTAACCATTGCAACATCTGTTTGAATATGCCCCCTACAGTGGAGCCACAATAGTCATGAGAGTGATTTTCCAGTTTAAAGACTGGAAAACCCCCTTCTGATGATGCACCTTTAAGATGGGAGTACTTTTGGAGTGAATACATGGGGTGGTAGCTGAATATCCCAGCCATGTTTAGTAGCCTCTAGATCAGTACATTTCTTTACTGCTGTGAGGGGGGATTTCCCAGTGGTTGTATGATGGATTTAGCGTGATGCATGCTGGGTATTGTAGTGAATGAACATTAATGGACCAAAATGCAAAAAAAAGAACAAATAACTGTGAATTCTGTCAAACTAGTGAGGCTGAGGGAAACAACACTGAGTAACAGAAGACTACATAACATAGCAAATAACATTAAATGCTGGAATGCCCCTTTAAGGAGTCATTGGGATTCTTGCATGTTCAGTAATTGATAAGCAGACTGTTGCCTTAAGAACAGTAGACACACAGTACAGAGTTATATATTAAGGAAATTAAAATTTCTGCATTTGATGATTTCTGTCCAGGGGTTTTGAACGGCTACACCATAAAACATAAGACTGTCAGAAGGACAGTTAAACATTTCCCTTTATGGACAAATACTGGCATGTGAATCTCCCAATCAAAATCAAGAACAATCTAATGAGTCCAAAGGTCTTGTGATCAGAGAGTCATTCATAACAGGAACACCTCAACACAGGTATTTGTGTGCTTCATCGCTGCTCAAAACAAAATAAATATCTCTATTTTTTCCATTTTTATTTGAGCACAATTTGAATGATCTTTTTCTATGTGATGGTAATCTATCATTAAGTATAAAAACCAAACTGTATGTGCAAAAGGGATGTTGATATGTTAATGTGTGCCAAGTTTTATTGCACTTCTCTCCAAACATCCAGTACAGAGGGGCAGCGAAGGCTGTGTTACATGTTGCCTGAAAAATCTGGTGCATTTTTGAGAAAAGTTAGTCAGAATCTAGGTATCATTTGTCATCCACTTGTAATTATCAGATTCCTGATTTGCTGACTTATTGTGAGCACCCTACCTGTTTATTCTACGTAAACTAATAAAATGACACAAATTTGATACAACAAACAATTGAAAAACATTTAGCGTGACATTTGCTAATTTTAAAGATTTTCTTTTTCTCTCAAAGACAGTTTCAGTTTCTCTATTTAATAACAGACTTGGATAATTCACTTGAACCACACTGATAATAGTTTCATTAAAAATATTTTTTCACTTAACAATTTAGGATAAAAAATTTAAGACATGGTCTTGAACATTATGTCTCCTGAAAAAGATTTTTTATTTAACTTGTATATATAATTTAGTAAACTTAATTAAAGATCCCCAAGAAAGGGGTTCCACAAGGTTCTATATTAGGCCTAGTTTCATTTATTGTTAACCACTGTAAATTCTTGATTTTTTCCATAGCTTGTGTTTAGTCTTTAATGCAGAAATATAGAATCAATCAACAGTAGAGAAAGTGTTAACTTATTTTCACATCATTTGAGAGAGTATTCAAACTTTTGCACACAATTGTGTAGCGTACTAATGAAAAGTTCGATATATGTTTGAAAAAGTATTTCTATTGTCCGGTCTGGTCCAGAAAAAATTCCATTAAACATTAAACTAGTACATATTAAGTAATGACTAGTAAAAATTCAGTTAGAACTGAATTTTCACTAGTAAAAATGGAATTTTCACACATTGAATTTATTATAATCCTGTAAATTGAACAGGAGGATTAAAAGCTAAAACTGCTTGCAGTAAAATCAATTGGGGCATGTAATTGGAATTTTGACATGTCAAATCATTGTTCACTTATTTGGATTCCAAGCTAAACCTACTTTCCACACAGAAGGAGATCTCATCAAATTAGACACAGGATGCAGAGGCTGTTTTAATGTTAGTGTCAGTTGAAAGTATGAGAGAAATCTGTTGATAATGTATTTCTCTGTAAAACCTAAATTTGCATTTCTTACAGCAAAAAATGTGTGGCAGTCTGGAAATCTCTTAGTGTTCTCCTACAACAGCACTTAGAAGGTTTGCCATGATCTTCAGTCCAAACAAATCACAGTGTGTCTTTTAAACATGTTGGTTAATCAGTGAGTGTATGTGTGATTTGTTGTAAATGGGACCAAACATGCTTGGAAACATTGTAGAAAATATAATTTATTAGCTTATTATTGGGAAAATTACCATCAGAGCGGTTTAGGCATTATTTTTGTGTTATAAATTGCTACCTTCACATGTAAATATGGCAGTGCCTTACATTACACGAGTGGTAAAACACCAGTAATCCTCGTTTATGAAAGAGCAAACATGTTATTGCCATGCTATTTGCTCTAAACGTCACAGTAAGTCTGGGGCTGCATTTTGTGAATTTGGCCCCATTGCCTTCAAGATTATGAAAAACATGTATTCAGTCAGTCAAATGTTTTGACTGTAATGACAGTGCACTCTCAATCAATAAAACACAAGAATATATTAAGAGAACAGAAATATCATAACATGACATTGTTGTTTGTAGTTTATATTAATTAATTTATTTTTATTTTTGTGATTTATAGGCTCAGATTTAACAATGTTCACAAACCCTGACAATCCACTGGAGCCAAATGAGAGATCCATGGACAGCCCACTCTCTTTGAGGATAAATATGCCAAATATTCCAAATGATATTAACTCACTAGAAAGGTAAGAGAAACTTTATTTCCACTGATTTTTCCTATTTCACTCATAGAGAAAATAATAAATTCATTACAACCAGTCTAGATCCACTTTACATTGTTTTTACTGCATCTCTTTTTAATTTGGGCCACTAGTGGATTTGCTGGGGATCATCAAAGAGTCAGAAGAAGTTTAATTGTTTTTTTTAAGTTTCTTTGAATTTATCATTTCTATACTCGAGGTGTTCAATTATTTAATTTGAATGCACACAAATGTCCTTATATGAACTTTCTAAACACACCAACTGACCACTTCATTAAGTTCACCTCCTTGTATCTACACTCATTGTCTATTTGTCTTGCTATTTATTATCACTTATAGTTCTACAGTTACAGAACTGTCTGTACTTTGTAGTAGCCTGTTTCTCTGCATTTTTCATTACCCCCTTTCACCCTGTTCCTCAATGGTCAGGACCCCCACAGGATAAAATGGACAATGAGCGTAGAAACAAGGAGGTGTAGTTAATGAAGTGACTAGTCAGTGTAAAAATGATATTCAGAGTTTACAGTAGTAAGTGTAAAATACAATCTAGTGTGATGTCAATATGAAGATAAAGGTAGATAAAGATAAAGGAATGTAAAATGTTTTGATTCGGTAGTTCCCCACCTTATTCAGAGTTTTAGCTCCTGAATCAGGTGGAGAATCTGTTCTCCTTTTGCTTGTTTGCCTCCGCAAAATGTCACATTTTTGAAGATCCTTTTTTAAAATATTTGATATTTATTCTGCCAATATTTATATTTTTGATATTTTGGCCATTTTTGTCGTAAAGCAAAAAACATGGCGAAATAAACAAAAATTGCATTGCCTCCAATGTTTGTATAGTTTTGATGAGGAATAAAATCGCGTTCGAATATTTATCATTTTCATGCAGTTTGTTCACGCCTGGTTCAGTGTGTAACAACTGTGATGACTTGTGATCAGGAAATGAAGGAAGTCTGTGATGTGGTGGAGGTTGGCAATGTAAACAATCAGTAACGATGTAAACCTGTGCATGCAGGAGCCTGCAGCACCAAATATTTTTTAGTACTGAAAGAACCACAAATGGTACTATAACTATAAATAGTGTATTTGTTAGAAATGTTTTTTCCCCTCTAATAAGTAGAGGTTCACCATTTACTCCCGCACTAATGAGAACCCAAAGTGTGGCTGCAGTTCCTAAACAGAGGCGCAGGGAGCTGAGAGTGCAGGTCTAAATTGGGGGTTAAAGTAAAGCAGCAGATGAACACTCCTGGCCAGTGCAGTCATTTATTGATTTATTTTTTTAATCATGCAAGGGGTCCATAAAGGGACAGACACCATTTAAAGGCTAATCATCTTCATATTAAGGGATCATAATTGATTTTTATTAGGGTTCAAGTATGTGGTATTTGCTAGAATTTTTCTTCTTCTTCTTTTTCTTTTTCTTCTTCTTCTTCTTCTTATTATTATTATTATTATTATTATCATTTTTCTACTGAAACACATGTGCAGAAGAGACCACAAGTCATCATACTTGGAGGGAAGGTGTAGTGTGTGTACATCTACCCAGGCAACAAAAATGATCTTGATTGGTGCTATCGTGCAATAAAACACGTTTTGCCTTGTAACTCCATAATCAAATATTTTAAAGAAAGAATTTCACTTTTTTCCTGATTCCTTGGCTCAAGACAATCTAATTTGCAATTTAGACTGCGTACTTTTTCACACAATATTTGCATGATATGTGAAAACTACTTTTGCAAACTAGTTCTATGTTTTTTTGCTTTATCTTGATGGAATGGGTATCAAAAAATTCACAAACCCTGAACTTAATAATTATCAAAAACATGCTGACGTTTGTAAGCAGTTACCTAAACCTAAACCTAAACCTTATGAAAAATTATTAAAAATTTCTCGAGAATGCTTCACCAAAGAAATGGTAAAATATTTATTATGTGTGCAGTGAAACATACAAAGTAAAAGGAATTATGGCTGTCATCATTTCTTAACTATTACATCCCTTATAAGTCAACAGTTTTGTCAAGCAGTTCATGATTTCTTTAAAGAGATTAACATCTTTTACACCTACACCTTCCCTCCAAGAATGATGGAGTCTGTTCACGCATCATTGTAATGCTCCAAAGAGTTTTAGACTGGTACACTGCCATTTTTTTGATAATTTTGTACCATAAAAAATAATAACAAATAGGCTATGCAGCCAATACAGCAATATTCTAGTTTTGAAATAAATTAACTACTTTTATGTAATATGTAATATATTTTGGAATGAACTATCCTAACCTTGCTCAAAAGTCCTAATATTTTTCTTACTCATATGTGTGTAACCCAGTGAACAAACCAACAACACAGCCCACATATCAAACAGGCAAAGTGAGGAGTGCAAGGTAAGCATCATTTTGTGTAACTCTTGGATAACTTATATTCTGGCTCTGTTTTTAATTAATATAATACACACTTACATGAACATATTTAATTGTTAAGTGTGTTAGGAAGATCATGCACTGCAGGATATCTGACTATGTTCTGATGATACTTTGGTCTGCAGATGAGAACAGTAGAGCTGTGTCTTAAAGGGAAGATTCTACATAGTTATAATTTTATACTCTTTTATACCCCAAACTGTACATCCTGTACACTTATCTCACTAGATTTCCCACAAGTCTCAGTGCTTGGTCTTCTTCTTTTTTCACTTTATACTCATTTTCTTCATGACATAATGTGGCTTCTTCTACCACTGCTATGCTGATGGCACTCGGGTTACTACTTGTATCTCGGAATGCGTGCCATCTTCATGGATGGCAGCTCACCACATGAAACGAAATCAAGGCAAGAATGAGCAGCTCTACATCCCTGGAACTACGGGTCCTCACAGCAATCCTGTCATCTCAGTCAAGACCACCTTGATCATTCAGAAGCAAGAAAAAATGGCCCAGCCCATTTAAGCTTCAAGTATGGTTCAGCTTGAGCCACTATTTTTCAAGACTAATAGAAGACAAGCATCAAGACTTCTCTGTCCTGGCACCCAGGTGGTGGAACAAACCTTTTTTTGGGTGTCAAAACAGCAGATCTCTGATCTGATGTGATTGCTTTGTATAGCATTTAAATAAATACTAATCTTGTGGTTATAAAATGTCTTGAAATAGGACTCATGAAATTTCTGATTCCCCAGCTGGGCAACTAGGGTCCTTTCTGTGTGGGGTTTGCATGCTCTCCCTGTGTCTGTGTGGGTTTACTCCGGGTGCTCAGGTTGCCTCCCACAGTCTAAAGACATGATGTCAGGCAAACTGGAGATGCTAAATTGGCCCTAAGTGTGAGTGTGTGTGTGTGGTATTTGTTTTTAGGCATTGTGTATCTTTGTATCTAGTTATCAACCCTGTGTTTATAGAAGTGTCTTAGCTCAATGGCTTCTGTAGGCTCTAGCCTGTTTGCACCAGCTTTGGTAAGCTGTTCTGTATAAGAGCATCTGCTTTATATTATTCTTATCCTGTACTGTATATTTTGCATTACCCCTGTTTGATCCTTGCAGAAATGTACTTCCCAGAATACGTAAAACATAAGGAATTAAAATTCTTGTTTGCTGATTATTGCGCTCATTGACGTTTTTGGTGACTTTCTAGTCTGACATGATGTCTGAGGGCCCTAAGACATCTAACAACATAAATTGTGAGCTCAGGTAAGATAAATCTTTCATTTTAATCTTTGTATGTGTATATATTTATATAAGATTTTTTCTTCAGTTTTATTCAGTGTTGATTTGTTTCAGTGGTATCTTGGGGACAGACCCTGAAGTTGACAGTTCAACAGTTGTTAATGATTCCTGTGAATCTACATCAGGGTAAGATGCTTTTGTAAATAAAATGTTTTCATAAATTAAAAAAATTAAACATAGAATAATGTGCAAAGGTCTTAGGTGCCTTAGTACATTATTTAAAGACATTAATCGGAGAAATAAGTGTGTTTTTGCCTGTAAAAACAGTATGTCTTTAGAAAAGATGAAAATAAACAAGAACGTCTAATTTTTTCAACAAAATTAGGTCATTTCTTGTGTTATTTTCAAAAAGTTTGGTCCCAATTTGTTAAATTACATTACTAGCACACCTGGTTTAACATTATGAAGTATTGATTAGGCAAACCAGATTACAAATAATTCTGGGCTGCTACAAGGAGAGTTGGAAATGGTTAAATTAAGCAAATTGACATACATGAAATCACTACGTGTTGTATTAATGTTATTTGTAATTATTCTAATATAATTTTTTCCGACCAAATAAACACTTACACAGCGTGCCTATAACTTTTGCACAGTACTGTATTTTATCGATTGAAACAGCTGTAACTCAGGAAAGAAACAGTTAATTCCTCATCATTCTGTGAAAATATTTTTTTTATTAAGGCAATAAGGCTAATTATGAGTTCAGAACCCCTCATCGGCATCTTATTTTTTAATTTTCTTTAGATGTGGTCTTTGCGTCTGTCTTGATTATTTCTCTGATTCATTTGTAGGAACCCCCTGGAAGGCATGCAAGATAAAAAAGCTAGTGAAAAAACAAATGAGCAGGAGAGTCAAACTGATAATCTGGAGGTGAGCATATTTTTTTTTCTTAATCTTTGAGCTACTGAAATCAACATTTTTGTGATTTGAATTCTAAATAAAAAGTTTAGGGAGAAAAGTTCATAATGAATGTTATTAATGATGCCATACACATAGAATTTTTTACTATTTTAGTAACACATTAAGTAATTAAAACATTAATTTATAAATACATTTTGAAGCAATATATAATAACAAATAAAGCTAATATAATGAAAGGTATTCTTTTTTCCTGTTTATTTGTGGTATATGGATCATTCTATTGAACTGGTTAAAAACAGTTAAAAACACTTTTTGGACTTTTAACTGACTTGGACTTTAGACTAAAGTCCTTTCCTTTTGTGACCCCATGCCTTGATTATGTTTATTTTATTATAACAACTGAACATTCCATCACTACCAAAATAATCTAATTTACATTTAAGTCCACTGGCAGAGCCTTATTTTAGCCACACCCACACCCCTGCATTTTAGAACAGGAAGTGAGACTGCATTCCTGTCCCTTATGGCCACACTTTACCAAATGTTTCAGTAGTGACATTTGTCACTGACAATTTTAGCTCATTTTAAGCAGAATTCAAAAACGCTAGCTAGAACATGACTAGCAAACATAGCTTTGAACAGTTGTACACACATAAAATCATATTTTTATTAAAACACAAAAAAGTTTACATAACTGCAGAAAATACATGTCTCGGTAATGACAGTTTTTAATGCTCCACACTGATTTTCAGACTTTGGGGCATATTTACTTCAAAACAAAGGGATCTAAATGCTCAGGGATGCAGTCTCACTTCCTGCTCTAAAATGCAGGGGTGTGGCTAAAATACGACTCCACCAATGTTGTGTTTGTGTTTTGGTAGTGACATGAAAATGTGGGACAGCAGATTTTGAATGAAGTTTTGGTAACACTTAATTACACACAATATTGTTTCATAGTTAATAAGTAACTAATTAGGAACGAAGCAGGAACGAATGAGTAGTTCCATATTAATGCTTAAGTAACTACTCTTAACTACCAAGTACTACTAGATAACTACTGAGTAGGTAATAGTGAACTAATGATTAGGGTAATTCACTATTAACTAATCAATAACTATTAAGTCTCGTAGAGAATTACTTAGTAACTATGGTTTCTTAGAATAAGTACTCATAAATTACATATCAATTCAACATTAATTGCTCAAAAGCTGAGTCTTACAAGGTTCCTGAGCTACTAATGGATGTAGTGTATTCCAACACTTCTAAAAGTAGTGAAATACACTACACAGTGTGCACTCTCTACAATATAATGGATTATATCATCACACTGTACTGACTGGTGTCCTTCATGTGTTTGTTTTGATCAGAAACCTTAAAACGCTAATGCACATCTTGGCAATGTGAACCAATTTGCAGATCAGCCTACAAATGAGACAACTGCTAAAATACTACAGTATTCAGTAGACTAGTCTGCTTACCTCTCATCTTTAGAAAAAAACAATCTTTTCTGCTGGAGCACATGTGCCAGTATTTCTTCTAAACAGTAGTTCTTCTTCTCCTCTTGAGGGCAGGGTCAGTTGAAGAGAGGGCTCATGGAAATATCTGACTCTTTATGTGTCCTGCCTTCAACTTCACATGGTTCTAAATATTACCAAGTGATTATATAATTACTGTCTGTTAGGTAATGAATGATGTGTTGCTGTTCTTTATTAGGAGCTAGTGATGATCAGGAGAAAACATTATAAAGTGAAACACATGGTAACTCATTATTAATGAACTAGGAGTTAATGATGATCAGGAACAGTATTATAAAGTGTAACAGATGGCAACTCATTATTAGTGAACTAGGAGTTAATAATGGTCATGAACAGTATTATAAAGTGAAATACATTACAAATAAAACCCATAAAGTAATGATGTACTGTAGTACAAAACATAAAGTTATTTAATTGAAAGATGTAAGAGTAAATAAGTTTTTATTGAGTCCTTTTTTATTTGTGAACAGTCCAAATGTGAAAACATTCCTGAGTTAGCTAGCTATTTCACTAAAAATAATACACCCAAACAAAATGATATCAAAATCTGTCATTACTACTGGACGAGAAAGTCTGAGAGCTGTAACTGATCACAGTATGTTCTGCTAGTACATTAATTACACATCTTTCCATTTCATATCTGGGGCACAAAGTTTTACTGTCTATTAGCTAAGCTCCTGTTAACTAAATTAACTAGCTAGCTAGCATGCACTCATAACATAACATAAGCAGCAGCTTTATGTTTAATAAAGCACTAACATGTGCTTATAATTCTGAAATACGGTAAAATGGACATCATACAAGAAGACCGTACCTACTTAGCTCAGATTAGTTAGCGAGTCAGCTAACTATGTCTCTACATTAGTGCTGTAGTCTGAATAAAACCTTGAATCTGAATCAAAAGTCTCAAATTAATGGTCCAGGGGTCTGCCATGAATCTGATTCACTCATCGTACATCAGGAGATACAACGAAGCACGATTAAATATGAACATAATTATCAAACTAATCCACTGAGAATTAAATGCTCTTCCTTACCAGCACTTGCAAAAACCTCACAGGCACTCAACAGAAACACAAAAGCTATCATAAAAGAGTCCTCAATTCAATAGAACTCTAAAATGTATATTATTTTAAACATAAGATTGTCCACATATTTATACTACTACTATGTAAAAAAAAAAACAACAATAACAGGAGTGGTAAGACCAAGACAAGACTAAGACTGAGACAAGATTCTTCAGAATTTAAAAATAAAAAAAAGAGAAAAAACACTGAACCCACTGAAAAGGTTCCTTATCATTCATTATACATAATATATAGATGAATATTATATTTCTAACAGATTTTATAAAACTAAACATTAAATAATATACAGACTGAAAATATTGTGAAATATTATTATAACAATTGTCCTATTCAGCATTATAACTTTGATAGTAGATTATTCCCTTCTTCTCTAAAATCTATTCGGAATCACTACCTAAGGTCAACTAAATATAAAGCAAACAATATACATCCATTTTTATTATTAAATGAAAACATTCTGATCTGTACAACAGCGTTTTAAGGCCACTGTTCATAAAATAAAAATAGTAGACATAGATAATTGTCACACTTCTGGGTTCTCCTCCCTTGCCTAACACACTCCAGGACTCCATTTCCCAGAATCCCAATCATCATAACATCACCCCTTCCACCAATCACAGGCCTCTGCCTTGCTCTCAATCACCTGAGTACTGATTCAACACACCTTTATCTGTTTGTCTTAGATTTTAAAAGGATCCTGGTTTGTTCTCCTCTTTGTGAGGTATTGCCACACTTCTGGTTACTGATTTCTCGTTTTCTCGATTGTTTCTCTTTTGGATTTGCCCTTATTGCTCTGGTTGCCTGTGTTTTTGCATTTTCTGGTTTTTGATTTTGCCTGTTTTTGGATACTGTTTTTGGATTTGCCCTGTCTGCTCTGGTTGCCTGTGTCTTTGTATTTTCTGGTTTGTGACTTTTGCCTGTTTTTGGACATTGTTTTTGGATTTGCCCTAACTTGTTTTTCTCATTAAACCAACTGGTGTTTTTAAGATCCGCGAGCATCTTTCTGTGCTTGTTCAGCGTTACAAGAATAATGTTGTAATATTCTAAAATATTGAAATATTGTCAAAATATTGCTTTATTTTCAAAATGTCATACCATATGACTTTTTTTCTCTAACTATTATGACTTTTTTCTTGAAATATTATGATTTTTTCTCAAAGTCTACTACTTTTATTTTTATTAACAGTGGCCCTAAAATGCTGTCGTAGATCTGCCCAGTTAAGCTGTCTGGTCTATTAGACTTTATTTGAAATAACATATAAAATACAGGGTCCTAAAGTCAAATTGTCTGTGGGCCAAGTGTCAGGTGGTCTTCTCCAAAAAGACTGTAGGTATGTAGGTAAAAATGTTCTGTATTTTTTCATCCAAGTCATCCAAGGACTTCTGAAATGTCTGATTTTGCAGCTGGGCAACCAGGGTCCTTTCTGTGTGGAGTCCTTTCTATGCTCTCCCTGTGTCAGCATGGGTTTACTCTGGGTGCTCAGGTTACCTCCCGCAGTCTAAAGACATGATGTCAGGCAAATTGGAGATGCTAAATTGGCCCTAAGTGTGAATGTGTGTGTGTGGTGTTTGTTTTTAGGTATTGTGTATCTTTGTATCTAGTTATCAACCCTGTGTTTATAGAAGTGTCTTAGCTCAATGGCTTCTGTAGGCTCTAGCCTGTTTGCACTAGCTAGGGATATGTTTTAAAAATGGACCACAGAGCACTTTGGTAAGTTCTTCTGAATAAGAGCATCTGCTGTATCTCATTCCTGTCCTGTACTATATATTTTGCATTACTCCTGTTTGATCCTTGCAGAAATGTACTTCCCAGAGCACGTAAAACATAAGGAATTAAAATTCTTGTTTGCTTTTTGGTGACTTTCTAGTCTGGCATGAAGTGGAATTCTGACATGAAGTCTGAGGACCCTAAGACAGCTAACAACATAAATTGTGAACTCAGGTAAGATAAATCTTTCATTTTAATCTTTGTGTGTGTTTGTATAAGATTTTTTCTTCAGTTTTATTCAGTGTTGATTTGTTTCAGTGGTTTCTTGGGGACAGACCCTGAAGTTGACCGTTCAACAGTTGTTAATGATTCATGTGAATCTACATTGGGGTAAGATGCTTTTGTAAATACATCACCAGCACACCTGGTTTAACATAATGAATCATTGATAAGCCAAACCAAATGATAGCTACAAATAATTCTGGGCTGCTACACAAAGAGTTTTGGAAATGGTTAAATGAACACATCGACATATATAAAATTACTTCTTATTGTATTAATGTTATTTGTAATTCTAATTCTAATCTTTTTTTCTGACTGAATAAACACAGCGTGCCTATAACCTTTGTACAGTGCTGTGTTTTATCAGTTGAAACAGCTGTAACTCAGAAGAAAACAATGATCATTTTGTGAAAGTAGTTTTTCTGTCATTCTGTGACAGAAAAACTACTTTCATTCTGTGAAAGTAGTTTTTTATTGAGGCAAGCCATGTGATCTAAAAAAATGAGATAAATGATGAAAATCTTCCGTTCTAGCTAAGTATGAGCTAAGAATTCCTCATCTGCAGCTCTATATTCTTATGTTCTTTGGATTTGGTCTTTGTGTTTACATTGACTATTTGTCTGGATTCATTTGTAGGAACCTTGTGGAAGGCATGCAAGATAAAAAAGCTAGTGAAAAAACAAATCACCAGGAGAGTCAAACTGATAATCTGGAGGTGAGCATAATCTTGTGTAGATATCTTTTACCTCTTTGAGCTACTGAAATCAACATTTTTGTGATGTGAATTTAAAAGATACATTGTATCTTTTATCACATATCATTTTTTACATATTTAATTAATTAAAACATTCATTTATGAATGCATTTGAAGCACTATATATTATATGTTATATATCTGATTTACAAGGAGTTTTAAATCCACACGTGAAGACTTATGTTAGCCACACCCCTGCATATTAGAGCAGGAATTGAGACTGCATCCCTGCCCTTAATGACCACACTTTACCAAATATTTCAGCTCGTTTTAAGCAGAACTCAAAAACGCTAGCCAGTAGATGACTGGCAAACACAGCTTTGAACTGTTGTGCACATGTAAAAAAAAGTTTATGTAACTGCAGAAAATATGTATTTCAGAAGTGACAGTTCTTAATCATTTCAGATTTTGGGGCACATTTATTTCAAAACAATGGAAACAAACTTCTCACCATGTGGCCATGAGGAACATGCAGGGGTTTGGCTAAATTAAGGCTCCTCCAGCATTATGTTTATGTTTCGGTAGTGACATGAAAATGTGGGACAGCATATTTTGAATATTTTTTTATTTAAAAATTAAGATTTGATAAATTCATCAGAAATCTAAATGTTTCAACTTTAAAAGAAATCACATAAACACATTAAAACATAATAAAATAAAAAAATACAAAAAAATGTAAATATTTGTATGTATGTAGCTTTTTACTATTGCTATTAATGCAGTGCCTTCAAATAGACCATAATTAAGAGGTCTGGAGTGAAGACCCAGACTAACACAATCCAAAATCCACTGTGAACAATGGACACAATATATCATGTACCCTGCCCAGGAGAGGGTTACCAGGACCTACCCTTGGAGCCAGGCCTCCGGAGCAGATGGAGTGGCTTTGCTTAAGCTGTATTTAGCAAAGGTGGAGAAGCTTTGACTTCAAACTTCAAACTGACTTCAAATATTGTTGGTCATTGGAACTCCTAAACTTGAGAGATGGCCAGTGGCTTCTGGGGTGTCAGACTCTATTTTTCCCTGGTGGAGGTCATGGAGGTAGTTGGCAATATCCTCATTGGCAAGGCAGTGAGGGTGGATTAGATTCACCTGGAAACGCTTAAGGCTCTGGATGTTGTGGGGCTGTCATGGCTGACATGTCTCTGCAATAGTGCATGGACCTCGGGAACAGTACCCTTGGACTGGCAGACTAGGGTGGTGGTCCCTATTTTTAAGAAAGGGGATCAGAGATTGTGTGCCAATTACCAGAGTATCACACTGCTCACCCTCTCTGGGAAAGTTTATGCCAAGGTGTTGGAAAGGAGTCTCCAACCAATAGCTTAACTTCGGGTTGAGGAGGAACAATGCAAGTTCTGTTCCAGCTGTGGAACAATGGACCAGCTTTTCACCCTAGCATGAATTGTTGAGACTTACGGCCACGTTCCCTGAGATATTCTGTGGGAGGTCCTCTAGAAGTGTGGGGTGCCGGGGCCATGACCCCAGGCCATTTTGTCTCTGTACATCCAGAGTGAGAGCTGTGTCTGCATACACAGCATTAAGTCACACTTGCTCAGTGTGGGTGTTATGTCTTGTCTCCACTCCTGTTCGTGGTATTCATGGACAGGGTGTTAAGGCATACCCAAGATCATTATGTGCAGACACAAGAACGTGGCACTTCTGCTTTTTGCAGATGTTCTGATGTTCTTGCACTGGTCTGGCTTACAGCTGAGTGTGAAACAGTTGGCATGTGGGATCAGCACCTCCAACTCTGGGTCCATAGTCATCTCTCAAAAAAGGATGGAATGTCCTCTCCATGTAGGGAAAGAGGACCTGCCCCAGGTGGAGGAGTTTAAGGATCTCAGGGCCTTGTTCAATACTCCCAGGTTGTCCCCGGACCGCTGGAGGGATTATATCTCAAAATTGGCCCGGGAGCAACTAGGAAGCCCCAGAATGAGCTAGAGGATGTTGCGGGGGACAGTGTCATCTGGGCTTCTTTGCTTTCTTTATTGCAGCCATGACCCCAGCTGGATCAAGCAGGTTAAGAAGAAGATGATAACAGATCATGGCATAATCCTTGTCTATAGTCTGTATACTTAATTTTTAATTCACTTTTACTTTTTTTTCTGTGGGATCAGTTTTACTCTGTGATCAGCAGATTGAGATTGAGCAAATTGAGTAGAATGCTCCACAAAAAAACCTTCTATTTCAGAAAAGTTAGGACAGTATGTGAAATGTAAATTTTAAGAAAAACCTATGATTTGTTAATCCATTTGACCTATATTCAAACGAAAGCAGTACAAAGACAATATTTTTAAAGCTGTGCTTTGTAACTTTGGTAAATTTGGGGTTTACCAATTTGGGGATTGGTGGCCCGTTTGGTGGAAATACACTATATTGCCAAAAGTGTTCACTCACCCATCCAAATCATTGAATTCAGGTGTTCCAATCACTTCCATGGCCACAGGTGTATAAAACCAAGCACCTACGCGTGCAGACTGCTTCTACAAACATTTATGAGAGAATGGGTCGCTCTCAGGAGCTCAGTGAATTCCAACGTGGTACTATGATATGATGCCACCTGTGCAGTAAGTCAAATCGTCAAATTTCCTCACTACTAAATATTCCGCAGTCAACTGTCAGTGGTATTATAACAAAGTGGAAGCAAGTGGGAAAGACAGCAACTCAGCCACGAAGTGGTAGACCACGTAAAATGACAGAGCGGGGTCAGCAGATGCTGAGATGCATAGTGTGCAGAGTCAATCGCTACAGACCTCCAAACTTCATGTGGCCTTCAGATTAGCTCAAGAACAGTGCATAGAGAGCTTCATGGAATGGGTTTCCATGGCCGCTGCATCCAAGCCTTACATCACCAAACACAATGCAAAGTGTCTGTCAATCCGGACAGGGTGTTTAGGCAATGGGTTTGGCGGTTGGCAAGAGAACAGTACTTGTCTGACTGCATTGTGCCAAGTGTAAGGTTTGGTGGAGAGGGGATCATGGTATGGGGTTTTTCAGGAGTTGGGCTCGGCCCCTTAGTTTCAGTGAAAGGAACTCTTAATGCTTCAACAGACCAAGACATTTTGGACAATTTCATGCTCCCAACTTTGTGGGGACAGCCCCTTCCTGTTCCAACATGACTGCGCACCAGTGCACAAAGTAAGGTCCATAAAGACATGGATGAGCAAGTTTGGTGCGGAAGAACTTCACTGGCCTGCACAGAGTCCTGACCTCAACCCGACAGAACACCTTTGGGATGAATTAGAGCGGAAACTTTCTCTTCCAACATCAGTGTCTGACCTCATAAATGCGCTTCTGGAAGAATGGTCAAAAATTCCCATAAAAACACTTCCTTGTGGAAAACCTTCCCAGAAGCGTTGAAGCTGTTATAGCTGCAATGGTTATTAAGGGTAATCATATTAACTCTGAAGCAAAAAGAGATACTATTAGCAAAGTAGTCTGCTAATAGAATCGATTTAGCCAGATAACGTTACCTATACAGTTTAAAAAAACTTCACAATTACAAAATTCTGCTATCTTGTCAATGTCCTACCATATCACATATTAATTGTCTGCCTTTACGATGTCTCCATATTCAGAGTGATATCACTCTTCTTCCTTTTAATAACTTTCAGCTCTGTACAGGTCAGCACTGTGAGCAAAGCCCCACGAACATTGCTCACATAACCAGCCCATATCGAGCCTTCTTTTTGAGCTTGTGCACATGCTATCAATAAATAAAGATGTCTGATGTGGTTTGAAAGACTCCTGCCAAATCTGACCCAACAGCTCTGACTTTTGAATAAATATTCCAGTCTTTACAGGGAGAATCGCAGCAGTGTAATGCTTTTTTATCTTATCGACTTTATTTTTTTTTTGTAAAAACACACTCATACTGAAACTGATATCTGCAACACATTCCAAAGTTGGGACAGGGACAATTTAAGACTAGGAACATTTAAGACTAAGGAATTTAGGAACAGAAATTGTTAAGAGTTCAGAAAACAAGTTATGTTGTGATCATGCATGGGTATGTGTCACGACTCCCGTAGGCTCTGAACTTTCCTTGGACTCCATCTCCCAGAATCTCCTGGGAGATCACGTGATGCCAGCCTCACTCTCGCACTCCAACCAGCGCTCCAGTTCCCCAGAGTACTGATTGTTTTCACCTATCTTACTCTGATTAGTTTAGCTTATACCCCGGGCTTGTAGTTAGTCTCATTGCAAGGTATTGCTTCTTCTCACAGAGCTACTGAGCGTTTATTTTCTGATTGTCTGTTCATATTCTGACCTTTTTGCTGTGTGTTTTGACCTGCCTTTTGCCTGACCCCTTTTGGGTACTTTTGCCTGGTTATGTTTGTGTTTTTGTGTATTTTGTCTTTTCTGGATCTGACCATTGCCTGTGACCTGACTACGATTGTGGATTCTGTTTTCACCAGTAAAGCTTCTCATTCCCTTTTTATCTGCAAGCGTCTGCGTCATTCTGTTGCATTACAGTATGAAAGGAGCATATGGGAAATGCTTTGTCCTTTATGAGCAAAGAAGGTTGAGACTCAGGGAATCTGGAGTAATCTCTGCATAAAAAGAAACTAAATGACGTTCTATACCTCAGGTAGCACTGCATTAAAAACCAGCATGCTTTTGTGATGGATATCACCATATGACATACTTTGACAAGTTGTTGCCAATAAACACTTAATCTCTGCATCCACAAATGTAAGTTAAGACTGTACTATTCACATTCAAAGCCATATATGAATAATGTTGAGAAATGTTGCTGACTTCTCTGGACTCAAGCTCATCTGAAATGGGCTTACACATAGTGGAACCATGTACTGTGATCTGATGAGTCCACCTTTTAAATTGTATACGGAAATAATGGACATTGTGTTCTTTGGACCAGAGAAATAAAAAAACATCCAGATTGTTACCAGTATAAAGTTCAAAAGCCAGGGTCTTTGATAGTATTGGGGGATATTAGTTGGTTACTTGCACATCTGTGAATGCACCATTAATATTTAAAGATACATACACATTTTGGAGCAATATATGCTGCATACTAAGCAGTTTTTTCAGGGATGTTCATGCTTATTTCAACATGACAATTCCAAGGCACATTCATGTTTGTCTTACAGCAGCATGGCTGTGTGATCAGAGAGTGCAGGTAGACTGGTCTGCAGTCCCCATTGAAAACATAATGCATTACGAAGCACAATATACTACAATAAAGGCCCTGTATGGTTGCGCAGCCGAAGACTTGCTTAACAAAAAATAGCATTGATCTCCACTTTCGAAACTATTTTAAGTGTTGGTTAAAGGAAATGTGATGTAACGCTGCTTTCTGTTTTTATTAGCATTTCACATAGTGTACCAACTTGAATTGAAGTATGTACTTCTAAGTTGTGCTTGACTGTATAGTGGAGGGAAATGTTGAGAGCTTTCATGTGTATGTCTCTTTACTTGTCCTTGTAGAAACTTGTTCCTTGTAGCTCTATTTCCATTTGGATGGGCTTGTTGGCAGTAGCTCTCATGTTGGTTACCAGCTTGTGCCTAATTTCCAAAGGTAATCAACTCAGAAATGTTAAAAATTTATATTAAAAAACAATAAATAAATAAGTAATTTATTGCTGAATTCCTAATTTATTATGTCACAAGGAAACTAATGTAATCTAAAGGGTAATCTCTTTTTTACAGAACATGAGATTAGTTATCCTGAGCTGAGACTGATGCTGGTGGGTAAGACTGGAGCTGGGAAGAGTGCGTCAGGAAACACAATCCTGGGTGAAGAAGCTTTCAGAGTCGAGGCGTCTCCAGCATCTGTGACTGCACGCTGTGAGAGAAGGAATAAAGTTGTGGATAGACAGAATATCACTGTGATTGACACTCCTGGGGTGATGGACACATGGCTCACATCAGAACAAACAGCCCACAGTGCACCTGAATGTATCTCCATGATCGTTCCTGGTCCTCATGTGTTCCTGCTGGTGGTCAGACTGGGGAGATTCACAGAGGAGGAGAGGAACGCTGTGAAGTGGATTCAGGAGAACTTTGGAGAAGAAGCTGTGAAGTTCACCATAATACTCTTCACTGGTGGAGATCTGCTGGATGGAAAACCCATTGAGAAATTTATCAGCAACAGTTATGAACTTCAGAATCTTGTAGACACCTGTGAAGGTAGATATCACATTTTCAACAACAATGACAAAAATAACCAAAGTCAAGTTAAAGAGTTACTTGAAAAGATAAATCTAATGTTATATGAAAATATGGGCTACATTTTCACAAAAGAGGTGTACCAGAAGGTCCAGCAAAACACCAATAAAGAAGAGGAGAGGAGGCGAATGAGTTTAGAAAAAGACATTAAAGTGGAGGAGGGGGTAAAGAGAGGCATGATGGAAAGAATGATCAAACAGGAAGAGGAATTAAAGAGAGAACAGATGGCAAGAGAGTTGAAAGAGGAGGAAATGATAAAATGTAACAGCAGAGTGACTGAAATCAGACAAGAGGAGGAACTGAAGAGAAAATTGATAGAAAGAAAGATGAAAGAGGAGGAAATCAGGAACATTGAGACTAGGGAGGAAGAGATCAGAAAGAAAGAGGAAATGAAATGGAAGCAAAGGGTAAGAGAGTTGAAAGCAGAGGAGCAAAGAAAGATGAATGAGATGGCCATTAAATTAAGAGATGAACAATATGAGAATCAAAAACTTAGAGCAGAATTAGAGAAAGCGCATAATACAAAATTCTGGTTATGGGTCGCACTAGTGGTCCTCACTGTGTTGATTTTCTGTGGAATTGGAGCAGTAGCAGCAGAACAGTCCAACAAAAATCAAGTTAAAACATAGTTAAATAAACTGCATGTAACAGATAAACAGCTGCAAATATTTTTTTCTACTTACTGGTCTTTCCATTTACTTCTGTCACAATTACCTTTATTCAACAAGCTGCATATAAACAAATTAGTTTCATGTTTTATTATTCATTGATGGTGTTATCTGTACAATCAAACAATTAAAATAAACTAGATGTTGATTTTCTGGAAACATAGGCACTAACAAGGCATATCCATTCATATACAACAAAAGCATAATTTTGCTGAAAATACGCTATTAGGCCTTGGGCTGCAAGTATTGAACATTTTTATTTTTTAATATCCTATTGAATAGTTTGATTAATATTTGAATATTCTATAAGAATAAGGAAGGCTAAGATATTTGTTTTACTTCAAGGAATCAGTGAAAAAATATTTTGTTATTCCTATCAAGAAGCATTGAATGCTATTCCGAGGGATGCTGCCCAATCTGGCAGCCTGGGTTGCTGAGATTATTTGAAGGTGATAAGTTTAGCAGGTAAGCAATAGAAACAGCGTCTTTATATCCGCATTGTCTTAAATACTCTAAACAGCTTTTGATCAGTTCTTGTCAATGATCAGGGGGTGACCATGTTTTAGATTTTATATGACTTTATAGGACTTAAGTTTTTTTAGGCCACTCAAAAGCTGCTTTCCACCCAAGCATGTACTGAATTGCATCATCCGGTGTCTGAATGTTTCTTTCTGTTCTAGACAACCAGCTCACTAACCAGCATGCTGCTATTTATTTTTGGGAAATAAATGCAGTGGAGCACATTACAGAGTAGGGAGAAAGCATTTGGGCTGAACCGGCTAATGAAAACATACATTATTAGGGTCCCAAGTGGTGCAACCTTTATTGGCCCTATCATCAGGAGATCACAAGTTCGATACCCAGTGATGCCACAGCCATCTGTCACTGGGATCATAAGAAGCTCTCTCTGTGGGGGTTGTGTGGTCCTCCCTCTCCATCTCTCATTATGTTGCTAGCCAGTGCAGGCACCTGTTAGCTAACATAACAGAACTGGCAGTTAGTGTTCTCCTCCAAGCCATTTAGCTGTCCAATCATGCTGTGTGGTACAAGTTAGCTAAGTTGCTGTAACATAGCTAGCTAATGCCAGTCTTTTAAAATCAGCTAGATTTTGATGATTGAACTGAACTGTTAACTGTTAGGGTATCAGCAAGTGCTCAAAATCGTGTACTCATACTTGTACTCAGTCTGAAAAAAATAGTATCAATGTATCACAGAATTTGAACATTTTAAGTTGTGATGGCATTGAAGAGAAATTATTTGAGTGCTTTCTTATTTTTAAAGTTTCAATATTATGCATTGAATTCTTACCTTTTTGCTTTTAAAGTTTGATCATTTTGAGTTGTGGAATGGTGATGAATATGTCTGTTTTTTATCATCAATTTGATTCTATGAACATAAAATGAAATGAGTAACTGTAAAATGCTCCTTGTGTTTTTTGTGGCATTAAGTCAATAAATGTTAATATTGCTTTTTTGTGCAATTTTTCTTGATTATTAAAACGTATTTAATGAAACTTGGCCTAGCAAAGGCAAATCATTTAAAATTTTCTCATTGCTTTTACTAATTTTTTCACACCTATTTCATAGTGCAGATTAGATAAACTAATTAATTAATTCAATTAAATTCAAGGTGCTTTATTGGCATGACAAGTAGGCTACATTTGTATTGCCAAAGCTTGCCAGAGATTTTTAAACAGAAAATCAGTGTAAAACAAAAGAAAAACACAGAAATGACTAATAATTCTGAATGCATTCTGCACCTGTTTAAACCATACATGCACCAATGTTAAATAATTTGTCCTGGCTCTCTAAAATAAAAGTCATCAGTTGCTTCCTATCAGCCTGGATCAAAAAGTTTGGAAACAAGTCTTTGTCAGGAGAGGGATAAGTAATGGGTGAGGTTTAGGGGATGACCATACTGTTTTCCTTTTTTTAGATGCAAAACAGCTCATGTACCTAACAAATAACTCACTCAATCACTCAATAAAAAAATCTTACATAGAATATTTAAATATCTGATGACTTTTAAGGGGGCGGAATACTTTTGATATGATTTTATAGGTTCATTATAAAAGTAATTTATTTTTTCCTGTTTTTATTTTTCAAATCACACAGTTTGTTTTTCTGTTACTCGCTTTATCTGCTGTACATGTATATATGTATAATTATTCCAGTAAAGCACGGAGAAATAAGTGTGGCGCTCTGCGAAGTGAAAGTGAAAGTATTCGCAGGGATACTGTGAGAAATGAATCTGATTGGTTGGCATGGAGTCGCGTGGGTGGCGTGTGGCGGCGTAGCCAGATTGTCTGATCTACAAATCAGAGCTGTAGCGACTTTACTGTGTGCAGATCGAGCACATTCAGCGGGCTGCTGGAGAAACACAGTTCAGGGAGAGAAAAAACAGCGGAAAGAAGAACTGAAGAGTCGAAACAGCAAAAACACATCGCGCAGTTTGGTTTTCTGTAAATAATCAGGTGAATATGTCTCTCAGCTCTGCATGGTCGTCTGAAGGAGGACATGTTTGGTACTGTTTTCGACGCCATTAGCTCACGGCAGCAGGCCATGCTGCCAGCTTCCTTACTGCTAACAAACTACTGAACTTGTATCGTATTTAGATTTAATTAAACATTAAGAACCACAAACTTAACCATTAAAGGGGAAAAAACGTACAAATTTTATCACACTCGAGCCGAGTTGATGTTTGCGTTGTGTCAGTAATGCTAACTCGATCGTTATTCGTGTGTGTGCTGGTGTATATTTAGCTCTTTGTGGGGACCAGATGTCTCCAGGATCACACACAACCTGAACATTTTGTCATTATTAGAACATTTGACTCCTTTTTAGTCTTATAACTGCAGCTTTTAATAGAACTGAAATGACCTGAAGATTTGTTTTTGTCTTCTAAGCTAAGACTATTCAAATTTCCCACATAATTCAGTAGTTGAGATGTAAACAGAGCCATTCAGAGTGCTTTGGTGTGAAATGGTTCATTGTTGAGAAACTTACAGGCTCAGATGTCTTTACACTGGTTGTGATAGAAACCAGGGGTCACAATGTCTACAACACAGATACAGCCACTTTATTTACAATCCAAACCACCAGTGAACCTATACGAGTCTTTTGAGTTTTTATATGTAATGTTGATGATGGTAAAATAGTTTAATTGTGTACAAGTGCTTTTCCTCATGTCTAACATGAATTTTAAAAATTTATTTTAGTCCAGAACCTCAGATTAGGGCTGGGTTGGTGTAGCACATCAGTTTTTTTGGCTACAGTAATTCAAACAGTTATGAAAATACCCCACAAAGACAGGAATACAAGCTTCCGCTCCACAGCCAAACTTTTAGAAGTTTAATTTTCTCTGATCTGCAACAGAACCACCACCTATCAGTGTGTAAGGACACTGTAAAATTATTTTTCAGTAAACTTAAAAAAATGTGTAAAGAAACAATCTAAGAGTCACAGCTCTCTTTTAAAGTCCAGATTCAGTTTCACTGATAGGTAATAGACAAGTACATACTGCGTTAGACCCTTTGTGCTTTATTTTTGTAAAATCTTATGTCATACAGCTAACTGCAAACTTTTTTTGTGATCAATATTTTATTGACAAGCAAACGCAAAGAACACAAGAACTATGTTCAAAAATCCCAGGACACGCCCCACAACAGACATAGTACAGAGTCAACAAGGACCTTTTTAAGTAATTGCATTTTACTATAGAGTTCGTAAAACATAGTTACCCACTTAATAGCTAACCTTAGAACCTGTCAGTGCAATTTAGCTACACTGCTTTGGAACTTATCCCAAATAATTGGCTAAGATTTTCAGTTTGTACCACACATTTACCCAGCAAATAGCTAGAACTTAAGGAACTGTAAAAGAAAGCACCACCTTCTTTATACCTTCCTCTATGAACACTTTCATCTCTTCAGGTGTTCCATCATAAGTGATGATGAGTTCTGAGGGCGTCTCCAGCAGTGACGACAGCATTTCAGCCAAATATGACAAAAGACATTCTTTGAGCGACACAACAGTGTGGTGAGTGTGTTACTGTAATTCAGTGTGTGTTACTGTAATTCAGTGTGTGAGTGTGTTACTGTAATTCAGTGTGTTACTGTAATCAGTGTGAGTGTGTTACTGTAAATCAGTGTGTGAGGGTGTGTAAATGTGTGATGAAGAGTCTGAACAGTGTTTTAAAATGAACTTTCAGTTCAGAGCAGTCGAGCCAGAGACTCTCACCTGTTCCGAGCTGCACCTCCATGAAGAGCGATCAGTCAATGGACCCTCCGGCCCGTTTCAGCAGTAATTTCAGTGACGGACATTATTCCACAGATCAGCGGTATAGTATCTTCATCATATCAAAACCATTGCTGGCTTGAAAAGATTAGTAGTGTTAGTATAGTGTAGTGTTTAAATGGTCCGGTTTTTCATTTAATAAGCTGCTTTATGGATGTGCTTGTTGCAGTTATTTTATTTGTAAAGAACATGATCTAACAAAAATGTGTTTTTGTTGGAAACTGCCTGTTTGAGCTGGAAAACACATGAATAAGTGTATAATTCACACATCTGTTTTATTTTTACTCTGAATAAACAGATCAATATTAAGCGCTTGCTGTTCTGAACTGCACTCTAAATGTTACACACTCACTCAGAAAAGGCCTGGGTGACACTTCATTTCGAGTGGTCGTTTTTAGATGAAATAGACACTCAACAGACTTTCAGTAACATCAACAACACATCAATGGTAAATAAATAAAATTTGTTTATAATCTGCTGAATTCAGCTGTTTTAAACTTTATTTGGAGTGTTTACGTTCAGATCTGTAGATGTTTAACCTGAGAGGAACTGAACTTGTAACAGGTTTAATACTGACCATCTCAACATCCTCAGCAAGCTGGGCTGAGGTCACCACCATTGGGCTAGCGTGAAGGTTAGGATTAGGTTTTGGGTTGAGGTTAAGGTTAGGGTTAGGTTTAGGTTTTGGGTTGGTTTTGGTTTGACTACTCTGGCAGCAGATTAAAAGCAGCAGCTTTCCTTTTATTGGGGTTTGGTACTGGACCCGACAGATTCATGTCAATGCAGTATGTTTTTGGGACACTCACCCCAATCTGAAAAGCGTTGCACTGAATTACCATCGCTAGTTAATACATGTATAACATGTATTAATTAGCGCTGAGCAATTTACTCATCCCACCACTGAATCTGATTCAAAATACTGGGTTCATGATTTTAGACTCTTATGATATTTTGAGCAAAATTGGAATGATCAACACAGTTTTGTCTCTTAGCTTGCCTTTTTAACCTTGACTGTATTTGTGTAATGAAGGTAATTCATCTCACTGTCTCCTCACTCTATTCTGTTGTTTCTGTTCAGAGTTCACTCGGCCAGTCTTCAGAAGAGACTCTTCTGTAAATCCCGCTCCAGACATGCGTGTGTTTGTGGCGAGACGTGCAGTGCTAGAACTCACAATCGCATGCACGCCCAGCCATGTAGCTGCTGCGGCGGCATCGTCACTCCCTGCTGCATGCGACAGGTCAGTCCACAGGTGAGTCAGAACAGGCAGGTGGAGCAGAACCTGCCAGAGTTCAGTTCATTCAATTCAGTTTTAGTTCAGCTCATTCATGTGTTGAGGAACTGAAATTCAAGCTTGTAGATCAGTGACTCACAACCCGTTGAATTATTCATTAATTGTTCATTAATTGTTATTGAACTGATGTATTCAGTAACTACTCTGATTTTTTCAGCAACTAGAATTAATTTGGTATCAACTATGAATTATTCAGTGACTTTTGAATTGTACTACTTTGAGTAGTTTGGCAACTACTATAAATTTCCTGGTAACTACTATAAATTGTTTAGCAACTTTTATTAATTTGGTATATACTGTAATTATTGAGGAATTACTATGAATCTAGTGTTTAAGTTGTGTAGTTTGAGGATTTTTTTAACATATTATATGAATGTTAAAACCTTACTTTCTGTTCATTTTGCTCTTGTTTGCTATCTGGTGTCGAAAAGAGGAGGATGGGTTCCTCTTTTCACTGCAAAACCTGGTATCTTGTCAAGTAAAGTAATCTTAAATATAAAATCTAATATTTCTCCTGGTGAGATTTTTTGTAAGCTTAATTTATGATTACCTTATTATTAGACATTCTTTACTAATTCCGAGTAATTTTATTAAAACGATCTCACTATGTTGGCAAATAATTTTGCTTGTTTTAAGAAATGTGCTTGAAACAAGCAAAATTATCTGCCAGTATAGTGAGATAATTTTAGTTAATAAAATTACCTAAAACAAGTGAAACTGTCTAGAAATAAGATAGATAATCTTATAATAAGTGCACAACCATCTCAAATGGAGAATATTACATATATTGACTATTATTGTTATTGATGTATTTATGATCATTTCACTTGCAGTGTTGAGTCTTGGTTCCTCTCAGTGTTTGTTCCTCTTGCACTTAGGGAGTTTGTCCTTGCCACTGTTGCCAATGGCAACATTCATGGGTGCTCGGAACCGGATTTTTCTATAAAGTTGCTTTGTGACAACGCCTGTTGTAAAAAAGTGCTATATAAATAAACTTTGACTTGACTTGAATTAAAGTGTGCATCCCCGCACATTTTACTGTTTTCCTATTCTGACACACTCTATCACACACTGCAGCTCAGGAGGGGCTTATTAAGGAGCTGATTAGTTGGACTGAGCAGGTAAATCAGTAAAGTCTGCAGGGCACTAATGGTTCTCCAGGACCAGGACTACAAAACACTGGGTTAGACAGTGAATTCAGTTTGTTCACCTTTGTGAATTATGTGCTAAATTGATTGCAATGCTTGTTTACACAGCTCTCCTTTTGTAACTTTGCAGAACCTCACTGCAGCTTCAGAACAGGACGCAGCTAAACCTGTGCATGAGGACGGTCCACAAAGAGGAAATCGTAAGTCAGCAGAACTCAAACAGAGCAGAGAACTCGAGGCATACTTGTCTCTTTCACTGTAAATCCCCACAGTGACAGTGATAATAGGAATATTTGTAGTCTATAAATAAGGCTACATAAAATATTAATTAGCAATCTTATACATATGTACTGTAATTGTAATGAGCCACATCTTTTTCTTTCCACTGGTAAAAATGGTTTTTCAGGGTCCACTTGGTTATTTTGGATCCTGTCTCTGCTGATTGGTCTCCTCTGTGTCGCTGCAGCTGTAACATATTTTATGAGTTCCTCTAAAATGCAAGGTGAGTGTGAACATTGCATAACATTTTTATACATGGGTCACTTTTTAAATTTTTTTTTATTTATTTATACCTACAGTGCAAAATGTGTACGATATAGTTTATATCTGTCGTATGTTTATTTAAACCTGCTCTCACCATCTCCGGCTCCACCATGGCTGCATCCACTAATGATTACACATTGCTGTTAGTTAGGGACTCATTTAGTGGACAGAGCCAGGGTGGAGCTGGAGACAGTTGGTGCTGGGAGACACCTTCACAATAAGTTTGTTTTCTGTCTCTCTTTCTCTCTCCAGAAGTAAAAACAGCAGGAGAGCTCAGCCTCATGTTGTTGGGGAGGTCTGGAGCGGGAAAGAGTGCATCAGGAAACACCATCCTGGGGAGGCCGGCGTTTGAAGAGGATTACTCCTTTCTCCCGGTGACGAAAGGCTGTGAGACTCGCAGTGCTGTGATCTTGGGAAGGAAGGTCAAAATCACTGACACACCAGGTCTTTCAGACGAATCGTTTGTGAACTGTTTTGCTAACGATTCTACCATTCATGCATTCCTGGTAGTGATCAGGCTGGGCAGGATAACAGTGGAAGAGAAAGAAAATATCAGACACATTGCTGAGAACTTTGGTTCTGGAGCTCTGAAACATGCACTGGTGCTCTTCACAGGTGGAGACCTTTTAGGTGGGAAATCCTTCACAGAGTTACTGGCTCACAGTCCTCCTATTCTAAAGGAGATCCTCAGGGTCTGCGGAGGTGGCTATCATGTCTTCAATAACAAAGACCGTTCAGACATCAGGCAGGTTGAAGAGCTGCTGTTGAAGATAGAAGCAATTATGTACAGAAATGGTGTTTATAAAGTAGAGGCACCCCCTGTGGAACATGAACACGATGTAAAGAACGTACCAGAACATACAGAAACATTTTATGTTGTCTTCATATTGGGTGTAGTTTTCTTAGCAGTGGATGGCGTAAGAGTTCTTCTAAGTTCTCTTGTAGTGTTGGTGAGGAACGTATATGCCTCAAAGACAAAAGTTTCAAAACAGAATTCGTGTTCTACTCAAACAGAGCCAGAAGAAACAGATGAATTTGAGGATATCTACATGACTGATGAGATGAAGGAAATAAGACAAACTAAGAAAATGTGAAATGAAGGGATAATTTAGAAAGAATGTTTTTCAGATTGCAATAAAAAATCCAGCGATTTTTTCAGAATTTCTGCACAACTTAATGCATCAGTCAATCACAGTTGTTTGGTGTGAAATACTTTGTTCTAGGGAAACTTACTGAGTGAGAATTGTTCACAGTGATGGTGAAAGGAACCAGACGTCTGAAGAGTTTAATGCCTGTAGTTCCCTCACAGAAAGCTTTTACGGTGAAATGGTTACGAATACACTGCCTGATGTCTGAGACATTGTTTTACGGTAGTTTTGAGATTAAGCTTTTGCAAAGAATATATTTTTATCAAATCTATTCATGGTGGAGAGATACATGCAGGGCGCTGTAAGGCAAATAGTCCCCAAAGGGGGTGAGGATGCTTAATAGCAAGTCATTCACCAGTGGGAACCAAAGTGGTTCTTCTGTGGCGTCACTCCAAACGAACCCTTTGTGCATCATTATTTTTAAGAGGGCAGCTTCTTCTTTTCTGTGGTTCTTGGCCACAGGGTTCTAGGAAACGTTTAAGTAGGACAGGATATGTGTGCCCAATTCAGTGATCTACAGTTCAGTGCTCTGGACGGTTCAGTTCCAAAACTGATTTAACATACCTGATCCAGTTAATCAAAGCCTTCAGAAGAATCTGAGCCATAGAGTTGTTGTGATGGAACCAGAGGTGGGTGACATGGCAAAAATATAACATTGCAGTATATATCGCAGTATTATACTTCAAGAAATTTTCACCATACATTTTTTTTTCAGGCATTTGATCAGTTGGAACTGAGAAAAAAGAACCAGTAGTGCTACATTTAAAAAATACCATCAAAAACTGCAAATGCAAGGCTCTTCATTCAGTATTGTGGATGCTGTGTCACACTAAATCCAGTTAAAGGGGATTAATTTTACCCTCTGTATAATGAAACAAGCAGTTGATCAGTGTTCTACAATACTGACTATATGCATGATACGTTGAGAAAAGCATAGTATATTGTGCTGTGACATAATTTATCACAATAAAGATATATATTGTCATATTGCCCAGCCCTAGATGGAACTAAACCCTCCTGGACAGTAGGTCATCAGGACTCGACTTGGGCACCTCAGGAATTCAAGAAGCTTCACCTTGCTACCAAACTGCTATTTTTTAACGTGTCAAACCAATTCATTGCAGTTGAAAATGCTAATATATTTTGGAAGAGCGACTTTCTTTGAATTTTCTTTACACCATATATTTTATTAAACCTAATTTATATGTATATTACATCAGTTAGGCAGGGTTTTCATTTAATTTTAATTTTATTTTAAAATCGACTGTTAAGAGAAACTTGAAGGAGATAATATATTCTGACTGAAACAGTTACACAAAGAAGTATTTAAGTATTAAAAAGACACTGGTCAAAATGAAAAATTTAAACGTTGCCACATCTGTTGTAAACACACCTACTTGCTCTTTTAGAGTGGTGCCACAATAGTCCAAAAAATGAGATTTTACAGGGTTAAAACTAGGAAAATCACCTTCTGATGATGTGTCTTGAAGGTGGGTGGAACTTTATATTATGTACAGTGGGGTCCAAAAGTCACTAATGAGACACCAGTGAAAATGCTTCTATTTTGCATTCCTTTCTAAAATTTAGAAAGGAATTATTTCCAGGATTAAATGAAAAACATCCCAGTTTTTAAAAGTGGTGTCAGACTTTTCGACTCCACTGTATATGCAGTGGTGAACTGTGACTATTTCTGCTAGGCCTTCAGTTAAAATGTCAAAAGTTGGTAAACCCAATAAAAAACCCACCTCTATAATAATCCTAAATTCTGCTAGCGCTCCTACGGGATTCCAGTAGTATGTTAGCGTTAAGGTAGCGACATTTGACTTGAACATTTTAGCCATTCTAGATTAAATTCTAGTAATCCCCATCAGAGACAGATGCATTGATGTTAGCAGATCCAACCCTGTTTAATTTCCTAGTTGTTCTTTGTGATTTCTGGCATTTCATATGAATTTAACAACGCTGAACCGTTCTTACTCCTACAAATGTGAGATACTTTGGTGGCGTTTCAGTGACTGTGTGTAGGTACTATATTGTATTTGAATGTAAATATATAATTTTTAATGTTTAGGTATAGCAGAGCATATTTCATGGATACACTGTAACCTTTCAGTTTAATGTTTAATACAGCTTTAACTGTTATTACTAAATGAACCAATGAATGTTGGTGAAATTCAGGTTCTCTCATTCAATAAGCTTTTCATGTTATTACTGTACTGTAAATAATGTCTTTATAATTGAGCATATTTACTGTATTGATCGAGCACTGATTGCAATCCACTCAACATATTTTGAGTGTTTATTTTATGTCAAATAAGCATTGAGCATCACAGAACTATGGAAATCTAACTTCAACATTTTCTTCTATGGATTTGCCTGGAGAAGATGAGAAGAAGATTGTAAACAGTTGTTTTCATGCTCTGATGTTTCTCGTGTGTTGTGGTTTTGCAGTATTAAATGTTTTAAAGATGTGCTACATCACTGCATTCGTCCTGCCATCACTTCACTTTGTTTTTAGCACAATAACCTAATTTGGTGCAGTTATTGGGGGGGGTTCCTAGTGGTTGTATGACTTATTTAAATGATGCTGGGTACTGTAGTGAGTGAATATCAATGGATGAAACAGACCAGTGAGGCTGAGGGATGCAACGTTGAGCAACAGAACACTACATAACATTTAGTTTTTGGCCGGAATATCTCTTTAAGTAGCCATTGGAATTCTTACTGCATGTTCAGTAATGAATACACAGACTGCTGCCTTAAGTACAAACACACATATCATTTCTATATTTGATGGTTTCTGATCTTCAAGCTTTTATTGAACAGCCAGTACAAAACAAAACAGTGTCAGAAGGAAAGTTAAGCTTCTCCCTTTGTGACACGTGGATCTCCCAATCAAAATCAAGAACAATCTAATGAGTCCAAAGGTCTTGTGTTCACAGAGACTGAAGGTAATTTATTTGTCACTGGTACTAAGAAAAGAACAAACAACACAGAAGAAGCTTCCTCCTTCAACACAGGTATTTGTACGCTTAAATCTAAAATGTATCCATTGTTCATACCGTCACTGTTCAAAAAATAAAATCTCCTTTTTTTGTTTTTTTATTTTTTTGCATTATTTGAGCACGACAGCTACCTTTTATAAGATTATAAGAACAGACACACGATGAATCGACCAATAGAAATGCTTTAAAGTTGTTTGGAATAAAGTCTTTGTACTTTAATGTACATCAAAAGTTAAGAATATTTTTGCCTTTCCTGTAAAGTTACTATTTTGGAGATAAATTTTTTTTTGTTTTGTTTGTTTTTTGGACAGCGATGAAATGGGTTCCACAAAGTTCTATATTGGGCCTAGTTTCATTTATTGTTAACCACTGTAAATTCTTGATTTTTTCCATGGCATGTTGTGCCAGTCGCCCAACCCGCGGGCACTGACGACAGCTGCGACAGAGGACGGGAGGGCGCCATCTTCATGCCTCTCGTGGCTGTCATCGTTCTCCTGCCCTCTCTCATGGCTGATATCCTCTTCCCAATGTCACTTGCAGCTTTCGTTGGCGTGCAAGGCTCGGGCCTTGGGTCGGGCCACAGGCGCACATGGTTATAGCATGTTTTAAGCACTTTTCTTAGTATTTTAATGCTAAATTATACAATTGAGTCAACTGTAGAGAATGTGGTAACTTATTTTCACTTAGAAAATTAACAGAACATGTCATTTGATTGTAAGTGTTCAAACATTTGCATACAATTGTATAGCATTCTATTCAAAAGATGGACAAACTCCTGAAAATGTTTTTTGTGTTGTCTGGAATGGGCTGTTAGAAGTACTCCAATATTCATTACATCCATAAGTACACTGACTTCACAATGTATTATCTATTAGTATTACAAAAAAAAAATGTAAACAATCTTTAAGATCACATTGGCTCTTATTCAAGTTCATGGCCAAATCTGTAAAAAGGTTAAAACAAAACTAAATTGTGTCTAATTAGGATGTTTTGTGATGCTGTTTTCTTATCTGGAGTTTATGGATAAGATTATGAATTTAAGAACTGCTGTTCTGAAACAGCTTCTGTCCTAAATTCAGTCTTAACTGAAGTTGTCATGGTGACTAAACAGATAAGATTTCAGACTTAAAGAAATCGAAGGGAAAATCTCTACCATATTAAGTTACCGTTTCTATTTGTTCAATGATTTGTTGTTAAGACCATTAAAAGTTTAAAGTTATGCCTTTTTGGGCTTTTGATCTTCTCTCAATAACCTGGTGGATATATCGCTAATTTTGTATTTTTCTGAGAATGTAGATGTGTTCTGCATTACGTCCAACACATTTAGTCCATGTTAATACATCATGCTGCTGCCACATTTCAGCCAACTTCTTTGTATTGCTGATCTTAGGGTGTTTTCACAGTAGAGCTTTTTTCCGGACCCAGGTTCACTGGCTCTGGTATGTCTGGTCAAGTGTGAAAGCTGGTTTGGAGCCCAGGAGCGGTCCAGAGAACTGATCTCTGGTCCTCCTGGTCTGGGGTTGACTTCCAGCGAACTAGTGAGGCCCACCGCGCATGTGGAAGCTGTCCGCACCCGTTGCCGTGTGTGGGTTGCATATATGGTTAATATTGTAATGTTACTGCTTCAACTTATCATGTTACTTCGCCTTTCAAAAGCTGCCCATCATTAAGTGTTTATCTTTTTTCTTCAAGTTCTGTGATGGCGGGGAAAGGATTGTTGTGGACCGCGGAGTTAAAAAGCTACAGAGCCCTGCTGGTGACGTCCGGTATAAATAAAAATAATGCGTGGCCACGGCCTATTAACGTGTGGGAACAAGATCCTAATACGTGGCAACAACTTAATAAGGCGTGGGAACAAGATCAAGAAGTCATGGCCAAGACTTAGTAAGGTGTGGGAATGAGATCAGGCATTATTAAGCTGTGGTTAAGACTAAGTCATGGCCACGCATTAGTATCTTGTTCCCACACCTTACTAGGTTGTGGCCACAACTTAATCATCTAGTTCTCCTGCCTTACTAAGTCGTGGCCACACATTATCTTTATTTATACAGGATGTCACCAGCAGGGCTCTGTAAAAAGCTGTTCTTCACCTCTTGAGTGTTTGAAGCTCGTGCCTACCTTTGTGCAAACTTGCACACAGAAGGTGACACATGGAATTGCACAGTTGATCCACGGTTCGGATGGAATTCTTGTGTGTGAAAGCGATAATGAGCAGTGATAACGAGCCCATCTCCCAAACAAGCCCAGAATCGGTTCTGGGTTCGCACTCCAGCACTCAGGATAAGTGTGTAAATGCCCTTAGTTTACCTGTGGTGTCTGTCTTGTTTTGCGCTTTAGCAGGTTTAAATGTTCCCATGTAAACATTAGCAACATTAGCAAGTGCCCTGAACAACAACCAGCACAGAGACACAGCGTCGTATTTCTACATTACAGTAATCAACAAGCTACTCTGGTGAATCTATTTCTCAGGGTTTTTAAGCAAACGTCATGCCAGCGGATAAATGTTTGTCTTGGAGCTGAGTGGCATTTTAATAACAAATGTGAGCACATATGTCCTGCTGTACAGCCCACGTTTGCTCTCAGCTTTTTTGGTCAGTTACCTCGTTAAAAGTGTCACATGACAAGCAGAGGTTTTCAGCTGAAGTTGAACATTTTCAAACTTGATCGAGTCGTAAGGCTGTTTAGTTAAATTATTGGTGCATCTAGAAATGCAGCAGTGATTCCAGGCAGTAAGATTGTACAAACTCACAGTGAAACTGCAAATAATATAAAAAGACAAATTTCCATATATGTTGCTATACCCATTATTCCATTCACGCTATCACGCCAGGGCCCTGAACTGCAGGCCCTAAAGCCTATTTATTAATATGGCCTTGATCACAGCACATTTGCTAGTACTATAATGGCATCTGGTACTTAAATGAGTTAATCACTGAAAACTATTCCTGAACTCTTTTCTAATAGAAGCCCGGCATCAGGATGAGTTCTGAAGAGTCTGAAAAGGCCTTTGAGGTGGACCGTGATAGCAGTATCGAAAGGGAGGGGTAATTAATTATTATTTATTTTTTGATGTCATATGTATCTATCTGTGTATTTTTATGATGTTTTGTAGGTTAGTAACATTAAGGACATTTTTTTTTAATTTGGCTGAGACCAAACAGCCGACCAGACTCACCAGTATCCAGTTGCATATCTATGAGGTCGATGGAAACACCAGGCACATTCAGTGACAAATCTGCTTCCTTTACTCAGAGGTAAAGAAACATCACACTGCATGTTGCCCTTCCGACTTCTATGTTGGTGTGTAATTATTACATGCTGTCCCAATTTTTTGTGAATTCAGGGTGGTAGAGCATAGCATAAAACATGTTTAGAAACATTCTACATTTTACCAAATTTAAAACTGAGTGTTGGACATAAGATATAATAAAAACCCACAGCTTTTCTAGCTGACAGTTAGAAATTAAATAAATGAAAAACAGCTGTTTGTCATTTCATTTTAGCCATTATTCTGGTTTTTCATGGTCAAATCTAAAATGAAAAAGCTAATAGAGAAGAGAAAATCCAAGCTTCTCTTTGGCTTTTCTTCATGAAATGCAGAATACGAGTCAAAACTAAAACCAAAATACTGTGTTTACATTCTTACTTCTTTTTCATAGCAATCGGCTGCAGATCTGACAAAATGAAAAAGCAAAACTGATAAATCAACAGCAAAGTGACCGTTTGTGATTCCGTTTTCAGCGCGGACGCGCTTTAGGTGTCAGAATGAAAAGGCAAATGCAAATGATCATCGGCGCCATCTGCTGGAGATTTACTTTTCATTTGCCACAGCATTAGCAGCAATGTTCCAGATAGTGCAAGTAGTGCATCAAAAGAGGGGTGTTGGTGGGGGGGGTTAGGTTAGTTCAGTCCTTGTGAATTAAAATTTTTGCAGAATTGCATTAATTCAGCCACATTTTCAGGGGTTTTGAGCATGAAAGGTCCTGCCATAGCATCTCAATTGAGTTCATGCCAGGACCTTGACTAGGATCCTCCAGAACCTTCATTTTGTTTCTTTGGGATGAGAAGCACAAGTACACCTCTGAATGGTAGAGAACTGAATTCACATTTCTATCAATTATGCCAAGGTCTGCCATTCCTTAGATGCTCGTCTGGGTTCTTCTGTGAATGAGTCACTCTGCTATTGGAGGAATTTTGGTGTGCCTTGGAAAAATTACCACTTATCTACCTTTTGTGTTTAGTCATTTGTCTTTAGCACTATCCAGAAGGGACTACTTTTACATATGGAGGTGGGGTGATGAAGGTTTTACTGTTGTCGCTCCTGTCCAAACCTGCCATGTCAGTTATTTTTATAGATGGCACACTCCCCCATGGGGCGTCATTCTAGCACAGGTGGTAATTATTGGCGGCACTGGGTTGTTTGCCACCCCCAAACCTGAAATTGGGCCATGCCCAAAGATATTAGCACAAGGC